GGCAACAGGGGCCAGCGAGAAAGCAAGCCTGCAGATTTGCATCCTGACCACCCCCTGCCCTGCCTCCTTGCCTGTTTGCAGGAAGGGCATCCAGAGGCAACACCTTTTAGAAAGGCGCCCGAGCAATCGATCCCAATTAGCATCCAGAGCAGAGAATAACTGCTGGAGACAAGGCCTTTGGGATCCAGGGGCTGGAGCAGCTGGCTTGACAGGTGGGCCTGGGCTCCTGCCTACCATTAAAGATCCTGTCACACTGGGAGAGCCTGCTGGAGGTACAGGGCCACACAACCACTGTGACAGGACCCACCACCCCTTCTGCCCACCTCTGCCATGCCAGGCAGTCACCAGATCCTGTGTCCCTTCAGGAGAGACCCCTGCATGGGCACCAGCTGCCATGTCACCCTCGGGTCTGCACAGCAGAGGTTGGTCGTGCATCCCCAAGTAGCGCCTGCCTACCAGTCATCAGCTGGGAAGGGTTGGTGGAGGGCAGGCAGCGTGTCGGACAGGATGGAGCTGGCCCAGAGCCCAGGGACCCAGATGCTGGGCCCGAACCCTCCACTCCCCAGTCCAGGCCCATAGGCTCTGCCTCTTTTTCTGTCTACCCTCTGGGTTTCTGACCAAGACCTCTTTTTGGCCCAAGATCTCACATCTTCTTGGCTGCTCGAGGACATCCCTCTGGCAGGCCTCCCTCTTCTGCCCCAGAAATGTTGAATCCCCTTCTAGATCACATTCCCCAGCTGGAAACACGTGGTTATTTCTCTTTTTTTTTCATGTCTTAAAGACCAATGTCAAGAAAACAACAACAAAATCCTCCTTTGACTCACTTCCCTTCAGTTACTATCTTTCTCCCCTTTCCAGAATTTTCCTTGAGGAGCTGTCTACCCCTGATGTCTTTGGTTCCTCTTCTCTATTCTCTCTAGAAGGCAGTCCGATCTCACCCCCCTGTCCCCTGCACACCACCAGCAGCCCTGGGCAAGGGGCGCACTGCCATCCACGCTAACCCATGGGTCAGTACCATCCTCATCCTGCCCTTTCGCTCAGAGGCCGACCTGTCCCACTGCTGTTCCAAGTCCCCCGAGGCTCCCTGGCTCATGGAGAGACAGAGCCAAAGTCCCTACAATCACGAGAACCAACATGACCTGGCCCTGCTCCCCTGGTGACATCTCCTCCCCTGCTCTGCTCCCCACTGCCCACGTTCCCCCCAGCCTCGATGGGCCTCCTGACTATTTCCCACTGCACAGCCTTGCTGTCCCTTCAGGGCTAACCTGACACACTTCCTTCAGCCTAATCCAGATTTCACAATCTTAGGGAGCTCCTACTCACTTGCCCACATATCCATCAAACCTATTTAACTCGCAGCTTCCCAGGGTGGGGGTGGGGAGGACTTCCTATCTCTTTTCTTGCTTTTCTCCCTGATCATGAACCTCTCTGTGTGTATTTCACTTAAGTGTCCTGTTGACGTCTGCCACCTTCCCTGCCCCCAGTTGGTGTCACAGAATGTCTGCTCCATGAAAACAGGGTGTTGTGTCTGTTCTGTCCACCCCTGCGTCCCCAGAGCCCAGATGCGAGCAGACACAGAGCCTGCTCCCTCTGCCCCTGGGGGAACAGCAGCGCTCCCACCTCACCCTGCCAGCCATCAGCACCAGGGGCGGGGGCGCTGCGGCTCTGGCTCCGCACGGTTAAGGGGTGTCCGATGTGGGAGCAGAAGTGCAAGTGTGTGGGGCTCTGGAGTCACACACAAAACCATCCGGGCTGAAGTCTGAGAGGCAGGCCAGCCAGCGTCAGCGGGGAGAGCATGGACAAAATGACACACAGCTCGACAAGCACTTCCAAAAAGAATAGTGTCGTGGTTTTTTTTGTTGTTTTTTTTTTTTTTTTTTTGGGGATGCCTGGGTGGCTCAGCCATTTGGCGCCTGCCTTCAGCCCAGGGCCTGATCCTGGAGACCCGGGATTGAGTCCTGCATCTAAAAAGATTTTATTTATTTATTCATGAGAGACACAGAGAAAGAGAGAGAGAGAGAGAGAGAGACACAGGCAGAGGGAGAAGCAGGCTCCATGCAGGGAGCCCGATGCAGGACTCAATCCCAGGACCCCGGGCCAAAGACAGACACTCAACCACTGAGCCACCCAGTGCCCCAAAGAGAACAGTTTCTAAAACCCTGTGTTCAAAGAGGCCCTGGAAAAAACTGGTGAGATGCTTGAGGCTCTGCAAGGCTGACCCTCTTCATGATTGTGTTGTGGAAGTCAGACAGGAAATGAAGGATGCAACCGAGTCCAGGTGGGGGCATGCTGGGACTGCGCCCTCTGGCCACGGGCGGCGTGTGCAGGCAAATGACTTAGCCTCCCTGCACCTCAGTGTTCTCATCTGTAAAATGGGGATTGTAATGGTATTTGTCTCATATGATTATTCTTTTCATTCAATTAATATATAGAGTTAATATGTATACATGTATATACATATATACATACCCTGTAGATTGATTGATCTATTTATCATCTATCTATCTACATCCATAGTTTAGAACAGTGCCTGGCACATAGTAAGTGCCATTGAAGTATTTGCCACTAATATTGAACAAGCTTACAAAATTATGCTGAAAAATTCATAATAGATTCATCTTTCATTCTAAGTAGTTCATAGTTGCCTATCAGGTAATTTTTTAAAATATAGAACAAAGTGAGCTTTTCACTTATGAATCTTTAGAAGTGTTCACAATTGTTTCCTTTTTAAAGAAGGTTCTAGGGGTGCCTGGGTGGCTCAGTGGGTTAAGCATCTGCCTTTGGTTCAGGTCATGATCTTGGGTCCAGGATCGAGCCAAGGACCTACTCAGCAGGGAACTTGCTTCTCTCTCTCCCTCTGCCCTGCTGGTATTCTCTCTCTCTCTCTCTCTAATAAATAAGTAAAATCTTTAAAAAAAAATTTTTTTAAAGGGGACGCCTGAGTGGCTCAGTGGTTGAGCATCTGCCTTCGACTCGGCGTGATCCCGGGGTCCTGGAATGGAGTCCCTCATCAGGCTCCCTGTGGGGAGCCTGCTTCTCCCTCTGCCTATGTCTCTGCCTCTCTGTGTCTCTCGTGAACAAATGAATGAAAATCTTTTTTTTTAATTAAAAAATAAAAAAAAATAAGAAATTTCCAGTCAAGTTTTTTTCACTATTGACTGTGGAATATGGTCTGCCTTTAACTGGATTCAAGTCAGGTGACTTTACCCAGATCCAGTCATCCAGGTGAATCAGGACTGATGGGGGGCAATGTGCTCTCAGGAGAGGGCAGAGCCAGGGGTTGGGGAATGATGAGGTTGTGGGGGGGAGTCCTCAAATAGGTGCTGAATGCAGGCTGAAAGGGGGCTCCATCTGCTGCTTCATTTTATTTATCCAACCAGCTTTCGATTCCTTTGCCACGACTTGGAATCCAGCTGGACTTGGTAGAGGTACAAGGAGGGACAGCAGGCTTCCAGGGCCAGACAAGATGGAGACCAAGCAGGTGCTGCTCTTGCCCGCCAACCAGCACCCACCTTGGAGATGCCTCAGAAGAGGCAGGGAACACAAAACTGAGGAGTCCTGAGGAGACCCCGGGCTGGTGGGAACTGTTGTGGGGCTGTGGTGATGGAAGTGCTGGGGGGCAGGAAAGCCACCAGGGCCGAGGGCAGCCCAGGAGGATGGTAGAGGAGAGCCCAGACGTTCTGTTTCTATCCCTGCCCCACTCTGCCTTGGGGGGCGGGAGGTCCGTTCCTCTGAGACAGAGACCAGTGAGACCAGCAGCCCAGTCCAGTAGCTTTGTATTGGGTTAGGTCTGGTCAGGACTGGCCCCAGTGCTACCGGGTGAGGAGCTGATGAAAGCTGGGTGTCACATCAGCCTTCCTCAGACACCTCCTCACCTCTGCTCTGCTCCCCAGGACTGGTGGGCTCTGATCTGAGAAGCCTACATCCTCCAGGAGCCACTGACATCTAGGACTCAAAGAAAATTCTGGTGAAGCAACAGCAAGTAAGGGTGGTTGGCCATAATTCTGTGGTCTTAGGGTTCATCCCTCCCTCCTGCCAATTGTTCCTGGAGAGACACAACACCCAGATCAGGGCCTGGGCGGCAACTCTTACCCATTACCTGTCCCCAAACAGGGTGGCAGCACTGCCAGAAGAACAGGAACACAGAAGCTAAAGGCAAAAAGGAGCACAGCATCTTTCACATGAGGACCATGCCCTGACCACCATCACCCCATGGAGCAGGATTTTCAGGCAGATCCAAAATTTCAAATAAGCGTAATAAATATTCTCAGCCAAGGGAGGGTATTAAAAATATAAAACAGAAACAAGAAGTCATAAAAAGAAGCAGAGAGAAAAATGTGAACATGGAAAAAGGGATAATGATAGAAGGGACCTGTCCACAGATGCTTTTGGCAGGATTGTTTGCGGTGGGGCAGGGCTGGCATCCGTTGGCACCTGTCATGGGCGAGGGGGTGAGCCAAGCATGGAGGTGCACCTGGGATTGTAGGCCCTGGGCCCCTGTTATTTTATTTTTTTTAATAAATTAATTTTTATTGGTGTTCAATTTACCAACATACAGAATAACACCCAGTGCTCATTCCGTCAAGTGTCCCCCTCAGTGCCGGTCACCCATTCACCCCCACCCCCCGCCCTCCTCCCCCTCCACCACCCCTAGTTCATTTCCCAGAGTTAGAAGTCTTTATGTTCTGTCTCCCTTTCTGATATTTCCCACACATTTCTTCTCCCTTCCCTTATATTCCCTTTCACTATTATTCATATTCCCCAAATGAATGAGAACATACCCTGTTTGTCCTTCTCCAATTGACTTACTTCACTCAGCATAATACCCTCCAGTTCCATCCACGTTGAAGCAAATGGTGGGTATTTGTCGTTTCTAATGGCTGAGTAATATTCCATTGTATACATAAACCACATCTTCTTTATCCATTCATCTTTCGATGGGCACCGAGGCTCCTTCCACAGTTTGGCTATTGTGGACATGGCTGCTAGAAACATCGGGGTGCAGGTGTCCCGGCGTTTCATTGCATCTGAATCTTTGGGGTAAATCCCTAACAGTGCAATTGCTGGGTCGTAGGGCAGGTCTATTTTTAACTCTTTGAGGAACCTCCACACAGTTTTCCAGAGTGCTGGGCCCCTGTTAGAAGCAAAGCCTAGATGTGCACACAGAACAGGAATTAATTGTAAGGATGAGGTACAGAGTCAAAGGAAACCAAACAAGGCCAACAGAGTAACATTTCTTAAATAAAATAGAAATACAGAATAATGTGTGTGTCAACAGGTGAGTGGATGGCCAAAATGTGGTCTAGCCATACAATGGGATGTTATTCAGCACTAACAAGGAGGGAAATTCTGACACTTGCTACAACACAGGTGAAACTTGGGATCATGATGCTGAGTCAAATAAGCCAGTGGCAAAAGGACGTGTACTGGATCCCACTTACGTGAGGTGCTTATGTAGTCAGACGAGAAAGTAGGCTGGTGGTGGCCAGGAGCTGGGGAAGGCGGGTATGGGGAGTTAGTGGTCAATGAGGACTGACTTTCAGCTTGGGAAGACAAGAAAGTTCTGGAGATGGATAGTGGTGATGATGGCACAACAACATAAATGTATTTAATGCCATTGAACTTTACACTTAAAAATGGTTAAGATGGCAAATTTTATGTTAGATATATTTTACCACAATAAAAAATAAAAAATAGCACCTGGGTGGCTCTCCGCTGGCTGGGGGGCTCACAGCTGGGCTTGCACACAGTAGGTGCTTCACACGCTACTGGTGAAGTGAGTGAGAATGGCGATGGGAATCAAAAATTAAGAGACCTCTATCGACCTAAGAAAATGACAGGATGTTTTCCATTCTGGAAGCCCAAGTGGATGACATCACAAATCCAGTTGGATAAATCTCACTCCCAAACTCAGGAGCATAGGAATTCCCACTTTTGCTGTTTTCAACACCTGAACTTGGTTTATATTTTAAACCTTGATTCTACCTGGTGATGGGGGCTTAATCTCAGCCAATGGCGTCCTCGAGCTTGGCCGGGGACAGAGTCTCCCTGCATAACCATGTGTACACTTAGCCACTCAACTAAGCATCAGGACTATTGCTGTGGGAGCTGTGCAGCCTGGCCCTCTGGCCCTGACTCAGCCTTTAGAAAAGCCTTTTGCATATAGCGGCTAAAACAGAAGTTCACTATAGCCCCTCCAGGTTTGCCATCCCCTTTCCAATCCACTGTGACGGACAGGCAGGGGTGCCACCCTACTGGCATGAGCATGCTGTCAAATTCTAATGGATGGGTGCAGTTTTTGTAAGGAGTGGGTCCATCAGAATGCCCAGGTGGGAGGGGGTGGGAAGAGCTGCAGACCATGTTGTGTCCCCACAGGCAAAGAGATGAGGTGAGCATTATACCAAGCAGGCCCTGGTAGTTTTGACTAAGAGTGCTGCCAGGACATGAGCGCCATCCTCTTCCAACAGCAATATAGGATTGAACCGTGAGTGTGCTGGCTGCAAAACAACTCTGGGTGATCATCGGGAGATTCGCTTATTAAAAAGAGATTGGGTAGTTGGAAAATCACTTTGGGAAAACGGTGAGGAACCCAGAGGTGCTGGGTGACCACACGGTTTGTCCAAGTCTCTCTCTGGGGCTTGTGGTGCCAAGCATGCTGCTGCTCCCGTGGCCAAGGGCACTGCTGGGGGATCTTCTGGATATGGCTTCCCTTCCAGGGGCCGGGGCATGGGGTCACTGGAAGCATGCTTCTGGCCTTTCAGGTTTCTATAGAAAGAAGCAGGGTCTTGCCTCCCACCAAATGGCTGATTCCTCAAAAGTGAGAAGGCTCTCCTGGTGCTGGGCAACTATCAAATAAAAATCATCCACAAGAACGATCAAATGACCACTTAGTGACCTTATGTGTTTCTAGACCATTGTAGGCCTCTCTTTTGCTGAGATAGAGTAATTACTGAGTGTGTCAGTGTTCTGATTTGCTTTATCCCCTTCGAGTGTTTCTACAGATTTCTGTGAACACAAAAAGATTCTCCCAATATCTTAGCCTTGTGCCAATTGTTCTTAGGATATAAAAATGTTTTTTTGCAAAAAAAAAAAAAAAATGTTTTTTTGCTGTGAAACCCAGGGCCAACTATTTACTTAAACATTGGCTCTAATAAAATAAGTTGTTTTAACAAGGATTAATGTGCAGGGCCCCAATTCTTATACATATTTGCCAGAGTTAGACACTATTCTGCATTCATTCTTTAAAATAAATGGCCAGGTGTGTAAACAACTGTTTGGAGAGTTGTCTGTGGGTCAAGGCCAACTGTGGTTTGGGCAGGACATGCCAGGAGGTGCCCAAGGTTGTGGGTTTATGATTGGGCAACTTCACAATCGATGCCCTGGATGATGAAATAGGGACTGTGCTTATTTCCCTTACACATGGTGTCCACCACGACATGCTGGAGACCAACATCAGAATTCAAGATGGTAGTAGTCCTTGGTCCTGAACTGGAATTTCACATCCAGTTGAACCCAAGAGTGAACCATGTACAGGGGCTCCAGAGACCCATGGGGGAGGGTGTTGGGAAAGAACAAAAAGTGGGAAAATAAACCCAGTGGGAATAAGGCTTGAGGTTAGTAGATTATCCTTCACTCCTGGCCTCATTTATCCAGATGAGGCAAAGATAGATTCATGGAGGCCTGGCACATGAAAAAGACTCCTGTCCTACTGTCCCTGATAATAGGCTAGCTGTCATCTCTGGGAAACAGTCCAATCTGGTGTCCCTGAAGGCTAAAGTGTGAGCTGGAGGCCTTTTAAGCCAGCCTCTGATTCTTTCCACAAGCGAGATCCTCTCCACTTGTGAGCACCTGCCCCTGGCTGTCACGTGGTGTCTGCGAGGAGTCCTGAGGAGTCCTTCTGGGATGGTGTGTGGGGCCAGAGCCACAACCTAGCCAGGGGCTTCAGGCTGCAGCTGCCCCAGCACAGGGCTGCCCTGCTCACCCAGAGCCACCACCCTGGCCCAGCTGCAGGCCTGGGTTTCCTGCACACCACGATTCTGGAGCAAGGCAGCCAACCCCAGCATGCGTGTTTACAGTTTTCACCAAACCCCAGGGATGGTCATGAACCTCCTGACCCCACTGGCCCTAAGGTGGGAACAGGCCCAGCATCAGGAGTTGCTACAATCTAGAAGCACCGGCAGCTGCCTGTCCCTTAAAGTCTCCCGGCAGCTTTGAGCAATCTGGGATGTTTGCTAATCTCTCCTGTAAACAGTTGTTTTCCCAGGGACTGCCCAGCCTGAGTTAAATATTAACAGAGAACCGCCTCCACAGCCGCTCACAGGGTATCTGCTTTAAATATTTAAGTAACTGCTGTTCTGTCCCTGAGCGACTGTTGGGCTCAAGCTGCTCTTGCCTCCCTGCTTACCCAGTACAGTGAAATGTCAAACACTTCTCTGGACCTTTTCTTTGCTCTGCTTGTGCTCTCTCTCTCTCTCTCCTTTCTCTCTTTCATTCCCTCTCTCTCAGTGAAGAGGGCTAAACCATGGGCATGGCTTGCCTCTCCCCTCTGCAGGAACACCAAGGGACTTGGCTGGTTCTAGAGCATGGGGTGCAGAGGCTCCCCGGAGAGCAGTTTGCCCTTCCAGGGAGAGTCCTGGGCAGATGTGGACAGCCAGGGCACACCCCACAGTACCCTCTCCAACCCTGTCGTGCCTGGGTGTGGTGTGGGCACGCTGTGTGTGCATCCGTGCCCGCGTGCCCCGTGGCTTACAGACTCGCAGCCGCTGTGCATACCATGCACTTCTCAGCCATGCTCCCTGTTGGCCCTCTTCATGCATGTGAGGGTTTGTATGCCACCTGGCAGTTTTCTTCCAGAGGCTGATTATGAGCTCAGCAAAAAGGATTAAAAGCTCAGATGGCAGATGAACCAAACAGGGAGGGCTGTGTGATTGTGGGCCCCACAGCTGGAGAAGCTCAGAGGCCTCCCCACAAGGAGATTGGGTGAGCCAGGCTGACCTTGGGTCGGTGGACCTAGAGCACGGGGTGGAGGGAGAGCTTGGAAGTAGGGATTGTGCTGGGTGTTCCTGTCTTCGTGTGGCATTTGGTCATAACCACAGACTTTGGAACATTCTTCTTCAAACCACAACTTTACCTGGACTCAGCTGTGAAAACTTCTGTGGATATAGCCCCAAATTGGCACTACGGGAGTAGGGGATGGGTGGCGCAAGGCAATGAGTTCCTGCAGTTTCCACATTCCTTGGTTGGGGGGTCGGGATGAAGCTCTGTAGAAACAGGCAGGAAAGCCAATGGCCTCCCTTGTCCAAAGGAAGGGGCAGGACCACTGGGTCTTGCATCTACCCCCCTAGCTGAGGTCTGCCTCCCCGCAAGGAAAGGAGCCTAAGGAAGACCTCAGGTGGAGGATGGAAAAAGGAAAGATGGAGGATTATCTTCCTCCAGCTTGGGCCAGAGATTTTTTTTTTTTTTTACGATTTTATTTATTCATGAGAGACACACACAGAGAGAGAGGCAGAGACACAGGCAGAAGGAGAAGCAGGGTCCTGCGGGAAGCCTGATGCAGGACTCGATCCCAGGACTCTGGGATCATGACCTGAGCTAAAGGCAGATGCTCAACCACTGAGCCACCCAGGCGTTCCTGGGCCAGAGATTTCTAACTAGTTTTGTGAGATCCCAAGACAATTATGCAGATCCTAAAAGCTACTGAGATTTTCTCAAAGCTAAACTAATTTAAATTCACTTTAGTTGATCTCAAGAGCTATGGCAAGCGCTCAGAATAAAACGAACTTCAATTCACTTTAATTTCCAAAAGAGGTGTTCTTTTATATATATATATATATATATATATATATATATATATATATATATATACACCTTTTTAAAAAACAAGTACCTTTTTGTCAACAGGGAGACTGGGTCGCGGTGGCCAAGTCGCAGTTCTCGCTTCGGCCAGCTGGGGCGCCACCTGCGCCCCGGGGCCGCTTCCTTGGGGAGGAGCATCCTTCTAAGCGCCCAGGTGCGGCGCACAGCGGAGCAGAAGCCTACGGGGAATCCGGGGCTACCAGCTGTGTGGCCTCTCCGCGTCTCAGGGTCCTCATTTCTAAAGGGAGAAAATGATATTACTGTCTCTTGTGCTCTAAGACATTGCCTTAGGCCCTGTCTGGGAAGCGCGGGGCCTGGACACGAGCAGCCAGCTGCATACGTGCGCTGCAGCTACAGCCGTGCTTGCAAGCTGGGAAACAGCCTAGTCTGGGGAAGCGGAAAAGCATCCAGTATGCACAGGGGGATTAGTGGTAGAAGATGAGCGGGGTTCCGCGAAGCCTGGCCTAGACGCAGGGTCATTAGCAGTCAAAAGATTGGAACACATGATTCTGCATGCTGGAGAGCCAACGGAGGGGTATGGACGGAGGAGGAAGAAAAGCAGAGCCCTCAGTCCAGATCACTGTCAGATGGAGGCTGGGGGCGGGTGGGCCCCAACCCCCCCTGAACCCCAAAGGGGCACAGATAGCAAGCTGGCAGGCTTGGGAGGGTGGGGAAGAGAAGTGCTGGAAAGGGCAGGACTAATTGGAAATCTGTTTATGAAGCTGCTAAGTCAATCAACCTCCCCACCCTCTCCAAGCACAGGGCAATTATGACCCCAGGTCAAAAAAAGGGCTCTGTTTTAGAAACTTGAACAACCTTCCCAAGAACTAGATTTCCAGTGTGGGCTGATTAGCTCTAAAGCTGTGCAACTTGGAATATGTTCTTCCACCACCACCAGCAGCAGCATCACCTGGGAACTAATTAGAAATGCAAATTCTCAGGCCCATCCCAGAACTTCTGAATAGGAAACTCTTTCCATTGGGGCCCATTCATTCCTGTTTAACAACTCTCCAGGAGACTCTGTTGAGAATCACAGATCAGAGATAGAGCTTCTCAATGTAGGTTGTCTATTAGAATCCTGGGAAACTTTTTTAAATGCTGATGCCTGGGTTCCAACCCCCCACCCCCATCCCAGGATTCTGATTTAATGGATTCTGCATGTGGTCTAGGCATTAGGATTTTTTTTTTTTTTTTAATTTACCAAGTCCAGCCATGGTGGAGAACCACTGGGCTAGAATAAGGCCTTCCTCATTTAGCGTATACTAGCCATCTACCCAAATGCTCATCCCAGAGCAAAGTTTCTAGTCAAAAAGCTCTATCTACTTATGCAAAGCTCCTTGTCACTTGCCCCAGGCAAGAAAGAGGCCTCAGTGGGGTACAGATCAACTACAGCCCCAAGGGAACCACACACCAGGCACCCAGAAGAATCAGCTTGGAGCTTCATTCTCAAATATAAAAGAAAGATCAAGGATCACCAGACACATAAGAAGACCAGCAGCATGAAAGGGAAATAGGTACATTAGCAAGCAAAACAACCAACCCCATAGGGAAAATAAATAACCCAGGGATCAGAAGATAATTCCTGAAAATTTTAATATCCTCAGAGAGATATAAGAAGTTATTGAACCTGTAAAACAGAAACTGGATGTTGTGGAAAAAAATAATTACATAGTAAAGAAGAAATCTTAGAAATTAAGGATATGATTCTTTAAATAAAACTTTCAATAAAATTGGGAAGCTTCCCAGATTATAGGACAAAAATAAGAAAGAAGCTGAAAACACGAGGGAGAGAGAGAAAAAAAGGAGTAGCAGATCAGGCCAAGATGTCCAATATTTGACTGTGACAATTGGAATTCAGAGCAAGCAGAGGACACTGAGGAAAAGGAAATCATTTCAGAATAGAAAATACTTTCTCAAAGGCAAGAGGTGGAAATCTTCAGACTGAAAGGGCCTATCAGTTGCTTGATAAAATGTCCATATTTAGACACCATCTCTACTAAGAAACTTGAGAATACTAAGAATAAAAAAGATGCTAAAAGCATCCAGGGAGGAAAAATAATAAAGATGGACTGCCTTTAAGGAATTAAAAATCAGACCTCCTCAGGGGGAGAGGGTTCTAGAAGACAATGGAGCAAGGCCTTCAAAGGTATGAGGGAAAATATTTCGAACATTAAATTCTATACCCAGTGAAACAATTTTTTTAAGATATTAAGACCAACAAATTTTTCAGGAGGCTAAGGAGTCAAATTCTGCAACATTTTCTTACAGAGTTTCTTGAGGAAGTACTCCAACAAAACAGAGAAAAACCACAATGGAAGACACAGGACCCAAGAAGCAGAAGCTCTATCCCAAAAGCCCAGTAAATAGAAGTCCCCAGGTGACAAGGATGCAGCAGGCCTTGGGAATATGGGGTCCAGATTTGAGCCTGAGTCCAGGAGGCTCTAACATGTATCTCTCCAGCCAGGTAGAGTCAGTGCAGTAGGATAGCATGTGGGTCAGGATCCAGTCAGGAAAACAGACACTCCTCTAGATATTTCAAACAGAGGGGGTTTATGATCTGGGAATTATTCTAAAAAGTATTGCAAGCAACTTATGGTTTCTAGTCTGGCACATAAGGAGGTTGAAAGTCATCACTTCCATCTTTACAACAAGAAAAAAGCTAAACTGAAAAATCAACAGCTCTTAGATCTATAGGAGTATTGAGGCCACAGGCAAATCACTGCCAAACAAATAGTGGAGAAACAGACAGGCAGGTACAGGGAATCACAGTTTATTGGAGCAGACAGCCGGGAGTGAAAACCTCCATGGAGCCAGTACCCAGCTAGAAAAACCTAAACTGTCACTGATGAATTGCTGGAGATTCCATGTGGATGAATTTGAGAGTTAAAAACTTTAAGAGTCCTGGTCTTAGGGAGGGCCCCACACATTTATGAGTCTTATCTCCAAGGTACTTTACACGTTCTCACAGAGAATATCAGAAAAATTCCCTTATGTTTTTAGCAGGACACTTGGGAAAGTAACCATTTTGAGATCTTCCCAGAGCATTCTGTTCTTCTTCTTCCTCTTCTTCTTAAGAATTTATTTATTTGTCACACACACACACACACACACAGAGAGAGAGAGAGAGAGAGAGAGAGAGAGAGAGAGAGAGAGAGCACAAGTGGGAGGAATGGCAGAGGAAGAAGCAGGCTCCCCAATGAGCAGGGAGCCCAACACTGGGCTAGATCCCAGGACCCTGGGATCATGACTTGAACCGAAGGCAGATGCTAACCAACTGACCACCCAGGTGCCCCTGCATTCTGTTCTTCTTGACAAAGGCTGCCCTCAAGAGAAACTATTTTACTAGAGCCTAACCAACTGGTGTTTTACCAGAGCCTAACCAATATGGGGCGAGGGAAATACCCAATTCCAATCCCTTGGCCCTTTCTCTTTCATCTAAGGGGGTGGAGGAACTTAGAGGTACTTGTGAAGGTCACAACCAGGGGACAGACACTTCCTAAAAGACTAAAACTTAATCATAGGACTATGGGATGTTTCCCCTCTTCTACACCTCACCACCACATCAGCAGGGAGCCAGGATAATAACCAAGCAAAACAATTGAAAGAATTGCACATCTCAGAATTTATTTAAGAAGTCTCCAGGGAGGCCCAAAGACAACAAGAGAGAATAAAACACCAGGAGAAATTTTAGCCTCTGACCCCTACAGCTACAGCAAGATAAACACAACCTAAAAACTGCTAACCAGATAAACATAAAATCTCACAGTAAAGGCCTATCTATCTCACTTCCTTTTATCCCATACATCATGTCTAGCTTGCAACAAATAATTACAAGGCATACTAAAAGACAGAAAAAACTAGAATTTAAAGAGGCTGAGCAAGCCTCGGAATCAGACTCAGATATGGCAGAGATTTTGGAATTATCAGATAAAGAATTTAAAACTACTATGATTAATATGGCAAAGGTTCTAATGGAAGAAGTGGACACCATGCAAGTATAGATTGGTAATATAAGCAAAGGGATGAGAACTCTAAGAATCAAAAAAAAAATGCTGGAAATAAAAAACACCACAACAGAAATGAAAAATGCCTTTTATGGTCTCATCAATAGACTGAACATGGCCAGGGAGAATTAATGAGTTGGGAGAAATGTCAGTAGAAACTTCAAAAACTAAAAAGTAAAGTAAAAATATTGAAAGGTAAAGGAATAAAAATGGGAAATTGATATTATCCCATGTTTTAGTTTGCTTGGTCTACATAAAAGAAAGTCCACAGATTGGGTGGCTTAACCAGTATTTTCTCAGAGTTCTGGAGGCTGGAAATCCAAGATCAAGGTGTTGGCAGGTCTGGTGAGAACCCTCTTCCTGGCTTGCAGACAGCCATCTTCTCAGTGAGTCCTCACAAGGACTTTTCTTTATGCATTTGTGCAGAGAGAGAGATTGCTGGTGTCTCCACCTCTTCTTATTGGGACAACAGTCATATTGGATAAGGTCTCCATTCTTATGACCTCATTTACCCTTAATTACCTTTTTAAAGATTCCATCTCCAAATACAGTCACATTGGAGGTTAGAGCTTTAAATTTTGGGGAGACATAATTCAGTCCCTAACACCCAAAGATCAGTAGGCATAGGCCTGAAATGGAAAGTGGGGTTATCTAGAGCTTGTGAGTACTACTGCCACTCATCTGGAAGCCAGGAGCTAGCCCTCTGGCTGGAACCCACAGCTCCACCACTATTGCCACACCTACTACCAATCACATACAGTTGCTGCCAGCAGAACAGAGCAGGGGAAATGCTTTCTCCCATCCAGCCTCTAGTACCTTTCACTGCCAAAACCTTCCTGGGAAATATAGCTAACAGACCTCCAGCTCTGGCAGTACAGATGGGAATATAGAATGACAACTTTGGAGCTGTGTCTGTGGACAAATAACACAGATGGCAGGATTGAAAAGCTTGAGAATTGGGAGGCAGGTATTCTTTGTCAATAAGAAAAAAGAAAAGCAATTAGAATATTTAGGAAAAAACCATAAAGTTGTCTACAAAGGGACAGTTTAATAATGAACAACTAAATGTGTCAGGATCTTGAGCAAGATGAATGAATGCACTAAGACAAAGAATCCATTTGACCTTGATGCTCAAATCATTCTCCTTTGTGTGGCCAGGGAAAGCCATCAGGCCTATAGAGAAGGAAACAACTTGCCTGCTAGGAATAGCACTTACAGAGTTATAAAAAAGCAA